AGTCAACTTCCTAACTGCGAATTAAGTGAAAGTGCCTATCTGAGTATTAGGGGGTTGGGGAAGGAGAAAATGGGGAAATGGGGAATTACTATTTAATGGGTATGAAGTGTTTAATGGGTATAGAGTTTCGAGATGAGAAACAGTAAAGGTTTGGTGACAATTAAATGAGAAAAAGATAAGAATGTTACAAAAAAGGAGGTATCTTAGTAATTTTGCTAAAGAAATAGATGAACCTTTACTTATAATAAAGGTTAAGATTTGTGAGGTCTCCCCTTAGGAAGGCAGACCCTGAAACATTTTGAGTCTTTTAAAGAAAGAAAATAAGAGTCTTTTAAATAAATTTTAAAAATGTATTTCATATATTTTTTCAAGACGGGGTCTCTGTCTCCCAGGCTGGAATGCAGTGGTATAATCATAGCTCACTGCATCCTTGAACACTTGGGCTCAGGAGGTTCTCCTGCCCCAGCCTCCTGTTGTAGCTGAGACTGCAGGCATGTGCCAATGTGCCCAGCAAGAGACATTCATTTTGGTACTATGATAACAAGGGAAAAAAAGGGCCTTTGGGGCTGAGGGAGAAGAAGAAGGATGGACTTAGACATGGTATAGGCACTTTCTACTAAAGAGCTGTGAGGCTAGAAATGCCAGGTCTTTGACAGGTGCAGTGGGCCAAGGCCAGGTAGAGAGCAGCAGGAAGAGATGAGGTGGGGACCTGTTCCTAGGCCCATCTGCTGGGACCAATCTAGCCATAGGTACTCAGAGAAGCCCAGGTTGGTGCCTGACCCACCCTTATAGCCAAGTTTGAGCCCAAACATGGACACCTTCTAGTCTATTCCTTCCTGCTGCCCATGGTGGGACTGCGTTAGTTTGTATTCTGAGGACACGGCTCTCTGTCTAGAGGAAGTTATGTTAACAGACATAGTCTGATGGATACTCAATACGAATATTATTTCAATGTGCCACAGGGTCGTGCAGCCTAGATGAAGATCCCAGTTGCCTTTTAGCTTGATCTAGTTTATATTCTTCTTTTTCTTTGATAGTATTTTGAGAGTCTTTATAGTGTAAGTCTGAGCCAAAATGATAAGTGACAATGCTTATATATGGATTTCTAAGTTGACTAAAAAAGTTGTTTTATAGGTAGTGATGAATACAGCCTATATGGTTTCCCTGTCTTCTTTAGATGCCTTCTATTTGCATGCCCAAAGTCCACAGTTGATTTTCAGTAATCTCGGGATCATCTTAGAGATAAAATGTAAATGAATGGCATTTTGCTAACAGTGTACATCTTTGCTAGTTCTGAGGATAATGGGCTCTCGCTATTAAATCTTTTACCAATATTTATAAAAAATTTACATATTCTATTTATATTGTGAAAACTATAAATTCATTGATTCAGTTATTGATTAATTTATTTGATATCAATATTGCTGAGTCCCTATTCCAGATTAGGCACTATACTCTAAGCGTATGGCATTTTAAAGATGAATAAGACACAAGGAACTTTGTAGATAGTAACAGAAATGAGAATTAATCAATTGAAGGATATAATTGTAAGTAGCAGAAGAGAAGTAAGAAATTCTGCTAGGGAGTTCAGAACAGGGATGTTATTTCAAATTTATGGGGATTAGGAGTGGCTGGTAAGAGAGGCATTCACAGAAAAGGTGACATAAGAATGCAATATTCCCCTCACACTCATTAGGATGGCTACCATATTAAAAAAAGAAAAGAGTAAGTGTTGGAGAGGATACAGAAAAAATAGAAACCTTGTGCCTTGTTGATGAGAATGCAAAATGGTGCAGCCACTGTAGAAAACACTGGTGATTCCTCAAAAAATCAAAATAGAATTTTCATATGGTCCAGTAATTCTACTTTTGGGTGTATCTCTAAAAGAATTAAAAATTTGGGTCTTGAAGAAATATTTGTATACCTATAGTGATAGCAGCATTATTCACAATAGCCAAAAGGTAGTAGCAATCCAGAGGTCTATAGATGGATGAATGGATAAATCATCTGTGTAGTATGTACAGATGAGGGAATGTTAGTCACACCATGGACCTTCAGGACATTGTCCTAAGTGAAATATGCCAGACACAAAAGGAGAAATACTGTAGGGTTCCACTTAATGAGGTATCTAGAAATATCAAATTCACAGAGAACAAAAGTAGAATGGTGACTGCTAGGGGGTTGGGGAAGGAGAAAATGGGGAATTACTGTTTAATGGGTATGGAGTGTTTAATGGGTGTGGAGTTTCAGTTTTGTGGAATGAAAATGTTCTAAAGATTGGTTGCATAACGATGTGAGTATATCTAACACTACTGAATAGATGAACATTTAAACATGGTTCTGATGGTGAATTTTGTGTTATGTATATCTTACCACAATTTAAAAAATATAGTATTTTATTATGTAGGGATGGGTGGGTAGATACTTGACACACTGGAATTTCTGGCCATGCATATTCTGTTCACTCACTCGTTCCTTCATTCATTCAACAGACTTGTATTGAACGCCTGCTATGTGCTGGGCACTGAGCTAGATGCCAACAATTAATAAGGCTTACAATACATTGAATCTGTCAATTTCATACTTGCTAAATATCTACTCCCACCTCCAAAGGCACTAAGCTTCTACAGTTAAATATTCATAGCTGTTTCCTACTGACTTGAGTCATGAATAAGATATTAGTAAACAAACAATAAAAAGATTTGAGGTTGATGGGGGCAGGTTCAACGGTATAGTGGTGAAATGGAAAGAATGGGTAACAGAATACGAACTGGAATTGTAAACTGCGAGCCAGTGCTCTCTGAAGAACATTAAAAAATAAAGAATTCCTATTTGAGGCTGCCAACCTCAGAACAAAGTTATTTAGAATGGAAAAAATTGGCAAAGTCAGACGTATTCAACCCAAGGAGCCAATATTTTATGAATATTATGGCAAATGTAGTTTGAGAACCACTACTACAAAATTGTGAACCATCCTAATGAATGAGGAGGCAGGGAAAGGTTATACAATTTGGGCTAAAAGGAAAGACAGGCCTTGTGAAGGGGAGGACCAGTGAAAGTGAGTATGGTCTGGGTGTTTGGGTGGGGAATGGAAGCAGGAAGCATGAGCTTCCTTTGCCAAGAGACCCTGGATGTGTTATCATCAGTTGACTTTAGCTCATCTTAGGATTTCGATTCTTTTGAAAATTTCATAGGAACCCTCACTCCATCTATATTTTCAATATCTGCCCACCTGTCTTTCTTATACAACTTTGAACACTCTCTCCATTCATTTAAATATATTATGGAGTACCAGCTATATACCAGGCACTGTGCTGGGCTCTTATCCCACCTTTATTTGATTGCACATGCCTGGCAAGTCTTGGACCAACATGACATCTACTCCTATGCCTGGTCAGGTGAGAGATGAAAACTCATCCTTCTCTACTTTCCTTACCTTCTTCCTTCCAGTCTTCTTCAAGGTGTCTTCATTAGGCAGTTTCTTTTACCTATGTTTTTAATCCTGGCTGCTCTAGTTTCCTTCTTGGCTTTATTCTTTTATCTTCTTCTTTGTGCTTTCAACGTGCCTTCTCTACTGGCCCATTCCCTTCAGTCTACATGAGGCCTTCTCAAGTCTCTTCATTCTAAACAATTCATCTTCTTGGGTCTTACATTCTTTAGCTGCCACCTTAGCTGTATCTTTTCCTATTCTCCTCCAAGTTCTCAAAGGAATGGCCTTTCCTCATTTTCATCTCCTTAGTTTCCATCTGTTAGATTTTGGCTTCTGCCTATGCCTGTCTATGGAAACTCCTTGCTAAGAGTCTGCTTTGTCAGATCTAAATTCACTTAACCAGTCTTTGCTTTATTGAATGTCTCTGCCCCATTTGGTTTATTGATCATTCTCTCCATAAGGCTTTTACTTTCTTAAGGCATTTTACTTCCTTATTTTTTTGGTTTTCCTAGAATTTTCTTACTGTTCATTTTCAGTTTCTTTTCTGTGTTCCTCTTATTATCTCTCTTTCTGCATTTCTTTTTAGGTTTTTTCTTAAAGCATTTTACTTCCTTATTTTCTTGGTTTTCGTAGAATTTCCTTACTGTTAATTTTCAGTTCCCTTTCTGTGTTCCTTTGATTGTCTCTCTTTCTACATATTTTTTTCCTGTGTTCCTCTGATTGTCTCTCTGTGTCACACAGTTTGGAGTGCAGTGGCATGATCACAGCCTACTGAAGCCTCGACATTCTGGGCTCAAGTGATCCTTCCACCTTAGCCTTCCAAGTAGCTAGGACTACAGTTCTCAGCTATTTTTTTTAAAGCACTTTTATGGAGATGGAGTCTTGCTGTATTGTGGAGGCTGGTCTCAAACTCCAGGCCTTAAGCAATTCTCCTGCTTCAGCCTCCCAAAGTCCTGGGATTCTAGGCATGAATCACTGTGCTCAGTCTCTATGTGTTCCTAAAAAGGAGTTTTGAATATTGAAGAACAGTATTTTCAAATTACAGATTAAGTTATGAAAACTGATTGCCACATAACAGGGTTATGTGGCAATGACATAAAAATTTGAATTGTTATTTTTTGACATGTGTTCTGTGTGGCTCATCAGTTCGCCTGAGTTCCAAATGCCCCAGCCATTTTATGCTTTGTCTCTCTTTCCTAAAGACCCTGCACGTGGTCTAGAGTTGGAGTGAGCATTGGTCCCTAAATGGTTCTGAAATAATTGTAAATTCCTGCAAAAACGTTAAGTCTATTAGAAACCAGCTAATTTCATTTTGCCATTTTTCTGGGTAATATATTCTGGTGCAGGTAGTATGTTTTTAAATCAAGTTTGCAATAAACGATTTCCCCTCAAGGTTAATATAATAGGCAACACCTTTTGCTGCAACAGACGGCAAGAGGTAATGAAAGATTAGCTTACATTATGATTCATTATTTCAAAATGTCAGGATAAAGTGGATCTGCTGCATCTCCCAGAGAGTGCATGTTTTGCTTTTCTAATGTTAATGGATTTACTGTTTTTTTCCCCCCAGGCCAAATTCAGATAATCGACGCCAGGGTGGCAGAGAGAGATTGGCCAGTACCAATGACAAGGGAAGTATGGCTATGGAATCTGCCAAGGAGACTCGCTACTGTGCAGTGTGCAATGACTATGCTTCAGGCTACCATTATGGAGTCTGGTCCTGTGAGGGCTGCAAGGCCTTCTTCAAGAGAAGTATTCAAGGTAATAGTGTGTTGAAAACGACTTCTATTTTTGATCCTACAAGCAGATCCTAAGAGCCAAAGCGACTGAGGAAGGAAGACATAGAATCAGCCATTTGTCCAAAACATGAATACCTAGTAGGTGCCAGTAGTATCTTTCATGGAAGTGTGAAGAGACAGGATCTCAGGAGGAGGAGTTGACACGTGCCAGGGCAGCTGAGGCTGGGTAATTCTGCTTCCTTCCTCTGGCAAGACTCAAACAGTCTTGAGCAACTCTACAGAGGAATGCCACTAGCTGGATCTCTAAGGACAAAATAAATGTGTGTATGCCCTGATTGGGGGATGGCAGATGGACATTCATGTTTGGTAGACAACTTTGCCTGTATGATCTGGTGTATGCTGTTCATTGTCCATGCATAATTATCTCTCTATTCTGGCCTTGTCCAGGGAAATATTCTCTTTTGTTCTAGGTTAGCTTGTTCTCCTCTTCCTCTCTTCCATCTCTTTCTTGTCTCAATGGATGACAGGACGTTTTGCTATGAGCTGACCCAGTGGCTGATGTCTTGTAATGGGGGATGTATCATCTTTACCAAACAGTTATTAATATCTCCCTGTAGCATTACATTTTCCTGCCTACCTCCACCCTTTTCTTGTCTATAGTTTACTAATTGTAGCTAATATACTGCCAGCTATACTTTATTTCTACTCCAGAAGTGTCTCTATTGTTGTATTATAATAAGATACCCCCGGGAAACACTAATCATTTTTAATACCTAAAATACCTGTGGTAAATATTCTTTATCTGACAGGAACAGAGAGATCTGACAGCAGTTTAGGCTAACTGAATTCATTTTTTATCTTAAGTGTGGGACATTGTTCTCTCTTGTTATTCTTTACCTTTTCAGCTTAGGTGAAGGTTAGTATATAAATACTAAGAATATTTCTGATGGAGTTTTCATGTGATTCCTTCTACAAAAATCCAGATTTAAGTAACTTGTTGAAAACCAGAGTCTGCTAAGTTAATAACCACTGATTGAAGAAATGATTCTCACAGACTTTCTGTGATAGCTCTTTCTTGCCCTAATATGAGACAAAAGCTGGGGAATGGTACATAGTATTTATTTTTCCTTCCATTGCCAGTGAGACTTCTTTTTTTTTTTTTTTTTTTTTTTTTAAAAAAAAAAAAAGCTGTTCATATCTTAACTGAGTAGCATGTGAAGTCAACATGGTCCATTTTAAAAGCATTTTCTTTGACACATTGCTTTTAACATCTTTTACAACTCTGCTATAAGACATGGATTTTTTTGTTGGTATTTTTATAAAATTAATGACATTGTCAATAGTAATCTGTGTGTGTGTGTGTGTGTGTGTGTGTGTATAAATTCTAAATGTAGGTTAATATATTTACTATTCATCTGCTAAACATAGGTAAATAAATATATATATGCACACAGACTATTTAATTTTATTAGATGATCCTATTTTAATTCACAAAAATGACATTTATATTTTGATTTAGGTTGATATAAGCCCTTAGATGTCTTTTTACAACTCTCTTAATTTGTGGTCTTATTGTTTATTTGATTTTATACAATCTAAAATACCATTGTTTTCACCAAGCATTTAATCTGGCAGTGAAAGAGCATTGGCAGAGTTATGGTTAGTAGATAGGTTTAACTGCACAATTGGACAGATTGATCTTAGACTATTTCCTCATCAGTACAAATGATTTGGAGTGGTCGTTGAAAAGTGTTTCTGTAAAGGGCCAGGTAATAATATTTTAGGCTTTCCAGGTAATTCAGTCTCTGTTGCAGCTACTTAACTGGATTGTAGCCTGTAAGGAGACCCTGTAAACACATGGAAGTGATTATGAGCTAATAAAATTTTATTTTAATAAGATAGAGTTTTTTGATAGGTAACGAATTAGCCCTGGCCCGTGGGCCATAATTTACTGTTACCTGATTTAATGTTTATTTATCTGATGTAAATACCATTATTTATGGAAAGGGAAAAGAAGGTTTTTAAACCTGAAGTTTTGATTATTCACATTTTACTGAGAACATACTCTATACCTGATTAGATGTTCTGAGAGAAATAAAAAGTGTAAGACATAATCCATAATCCCACAAAATTTAGAATTTATTTAGGAAATGTATTTGGGGAAGTAAATGTACTTGTTCTCATGATACAATCAGAAAGTAAGTCAGTATTGATAAAGTGCTACCTGTATGACAAAGATAAGGAAAACAATAGAGGAACATAAGAAGTGAAAATATCAGTTATAAATGTAAAATTATTAAGATGGAAAGTGGAAATAATCTTCCTCCAAGAAACAATGGCAATATTCTCACAAATTCTTTGCATCATTTTTGTTCAGTGTTTAGGATATGATTGTATAAAATCCCATAATATTTACTATTGTCATTAAGCATTAAGAACAGAAAAAAAAAGACGAAAAATATATTTATAAAAATCAATGAATACAATGTGAGATATTTCATTGCTATGGCACTATCTCAAGTTCAAATATTTTGAAAAAATTCTGCTTACTCTTTGATAGTTAAAAATACATACATATATCTCTTATCTCCATCTTGTATATGCAGACCAGCAAGTAGAATTACATTAAAACTGTAGCATTTAAAAATGCAATTCCCACTTGGTTTCAGAAACTTCTTATGTATCATAGTGTGAAGTTACTTATCTTAGGTTTTTAAAATGTGATGAATATTGAGTCCAAAGTTCTGGAAGAAGCCTAGAAATAAGGCAGAGTTATTAACTTTAAGATTTAAGGAAGAACCTTAAAATTATTCAGTTCTTCATTCATTCATTTAGTCATTGACTAGCTTTACTGACAAACCCCTGTGCAAAACCCTGGAAATGCAATGATAGAGAAGCCTGGTCGCTACCCTCACAGAACTTGCGAGGTAAAGGGGCATACAGAGCAATAAACCAGCAATTTGATGACAGTGCCAAGATAGAGGTGAAGGCAGCATCTCATAGTTTGGAAGATCCAAACTTCACTCAGTCCTGCTGGTGGTTGAGTCTGGCTCTCAGAGGTTTCCTGATTAAGTCTGGAGGGTATGTCAAGGAAGCATGATGAAGAAGGAGGGAATACATGTCCAGCCATGTGAGTGAGTCCACAAGTGAAAACCAGGAGGAAAGGCAGAGTGCAGGGAATTTTGTGCATAAAAATGAACAAAATTAATGTACTGTTCGACAAAGACATTTCTGGGCCGTGGATTTAATCCTAGGCTGTGTAAAAACTAAGTAATTGATTCCCTCTTTACTTTAAAGGTGTTTCCCTGTATTTGATTTGTTTGTGTGTATGTATAAAAGGAAAATACCAGAGCAAGTTTAAGGGCTTCTAGTTCTGCTTTCTCATCATAGTCTTGATAACTTGGAACTAAAAAGTTTTTGCTGAAATTGTCTGTGACTCTTTATAAATCACACTGCCCCTCAAACACATTTAAGGATGGTGAAGGATCTGACACGTAGGTGGGAAGTTCTGAAGATGCAGCAGCTCTCCCTGTTTTCTTTGTTACTTAAGAAGAGAGCTAGAAATGAGTGTACGTCAGATTATTCTTGTGTTCTAAGTGTTTTGGTTGAAGAGGTAAAGTGTTTGGCTTGAAAGCATACAAATTTTCATCCACTACTTAGTGTACAAACTTGATTACTTAAGAGATTGAGTAATGGCCTCCAGTGAAACACATTCTTTTTAAAAAGCAAAGTGAAGGATGCTATTTAAATCAGAAGGGGCGAAATTGGATATTTTATGAATTTATTAATCATTGCAGGCATAGAAGTAGTGTTCCTTAAGATGCTTTTTAGACAGAGACTCTGGGATGAGTTATGTAAGCAGATCTGGTTGCAGCTTCAGCAGCCAGATACTATCTTTGAATATAATTTCAAGGAAAAAGGACTCCACTGAGCTCACTGCTTCTCTCTCATTATTATTTCGGAAGGTCATGTGGCACAGAGGGGGCCCAGGCCTACCTATACTCCCTCCACTAGCTATGTTGCCATTTTATATTCTTTCTATAAGATGCCAACAGAAGCTGCTCATCATTCAGTCAGACAAACGTGTCCCAGGCAGGTATTGACTTACAGGTTATCTTTGACCAGGAAGACAGTGGTATCAGGGTAGAGTCTGGTTGTGGGTCAATGCAGTGGGGACCTTAGGTTCTACAAGTATAACAGAGCCTGATCTATCTGGCCTTAGAAAGCTTCAGGGTGACACAGTCCAGCACCCTGGATAGCTCCTTTAACAGCTGCGGCTGGTCAGCAGGGACTTAAAGTTGCTAAAGAACTCATGCCCATTTAGCTGTCTTCATCTGTTTTGTAGGACTCTGTTAAAAGAGATCTTAGTTCTTTTGGGCTTGGGGACTCACTCTTGTTCACTCAAAATGAATTAGTTCTTACATTTATTATCACATTTGTGTCTGGTCACCTCCTGGCTTGATGTATGCACCTATGTCTGGAAAAGTTTAGAGAATGGGGTAGAGGTGGAGGCTGCTCTCCCATCTCCTAACTGTTTTATCTTTTCAGAGATACAACTGAGATCCTAACCCTTTGGTCTCTTTATTTCCACACTTGCTCTTCTACAGTTCAGTTTCTAGGTAACAGTGGGAGAGATCTTGTAGATATATTAATCAGATCCTGTGGTCTTGAGTTTATAACTCTCAGTGTAGATCTTATTCTCAGGAAAAAAGTTTTGTTCTGCAGGTGAAAACATTTGACATATTCTCACTTCTGGTTCCTTCTTCCCCATTCACTATACTCCAGTAACACTGACCTTTTTTTTTTCTATTCCCTGAACACACCAACGTGTTCCTTTCTCAGGATCTCAGCACATGTGGTTTCCTTTTTCCCTTTGCTTGGAATATCCAGACCTTTACTTGGCTGGTTTCTTGTCATTCAGACTCTGCCCAAAGTCACTTTTTCAGAGAGACCTTCTCCCCCTCCCATGAGTAATCCTACTCTTATTTCTCTTTACAGCTCTCAAATTTTTATGAAGTTTTCCTATTT